TATATATATATATATATATACAGTATATATATAATTTTTTCATTCATTCAAATGTTAGAGCTTGAGAGCTTACAAGTGACTTATGTTTTTCCAAGCAAGTATATCACTTTTGCACATCTCATGTGTGTGTTGCAGGGCCTTTGGGATGCACATGGACACGCCATTATTGTACATACGAAAAAGGCTGCAACATATTCAGCATGTGCAACACAGAGGCAAAACCCACAGCTAAACAGGTACAAAGATGTTCATGTTTCAGTGATCTGTAGGAGCAGAGGTGCTGTTTGCATCAGGTCCTCACTTTCTGTCTCTGTCTTTTCACAGAACGGTGTCACGTCAAATCCCACAGAGAAGTTCAGACTGAAGTCCTGTATCAGGAGGAAGACTGACTCGATTGATAAGCGCTTCTGTTTTGACATTGAGGTGGTTGAAAGGTGAGTGTCTGCACTGACAGCACAGCACAGGTGTTTCACTCCCTGAGAAATATTTCACCCAAAAATGGACATTTTTATTCAGCCCCATGCTGTTATGAACCTGTGTGAACCTGTCTGTCTTCTGTGGATCACAAAAGGAGACATTTTGAAGATTCTTTATAAAATCACCTTTTGTGTTTTACGAGTCATACAGGTTTGTAACAACTAGAGGGAGAGTAAATGAATACCAAATTTTCATTTTTGGATGAATTCATGCTCCTTTTAACATGTGCTATATGTTTCTCAAATATGAATTTTTCCTTCTTGTTTCAAGAGAGGCCTGCATTTCTATGTTCTGCATGCTTCTTATGTCACACTATATAATCTGTCTTCTGTATATTTTAACTGTATAATCTTCTCCTTTTTTACTTACATCTGCCTTCATGGCACAGTCTTACGATATTAGGTGGCAAATATGTATTTATATGTATGTAAGCATTTTAGAACATGCACATTCTATAAACACTCAGTCCATCAGATCTGTGTGTAGCAAATAGAACTTCCTGTGTGTTCATGACCTTTGCCACCTAGTGTAAGGTTGCACTGTTGTTTTTCTGACAGTTTACCTTGTGCTGTATGTGCCCATTTCCCCTGTCCCTTCTCTGTGTTTATTTCAATCTAGAAATACCATCTATCGTGGATCTCTTTTCAGACCACTGCAATTTTTCTGTAAAGCCCGGTATGTGACCAGCCCAGAAGCATGTTGAAGCGCATGTGTGCTGCTTGTGATCTCATGCATTCAAAATCCCATGCTGATCAAAGCTTATTTCTCACTCCGATGGTTTTAAAGGATTGCATGTTGAAAATCCAACACATTGCCTGCACCTGTAATTGGTGGGATAACGGTTTGATTTGATTTAACTGGCTGAGTGATTTTTGATCTGGAAATTACATTATCACTTGACATCAAGGAACAAACATCACAACATCAAATTAGCATTAGCTATAGCTACACCAGGCTAGAGTTAGGCAAGATGGAGAGGAAACATCCAATGATAGAATTAAGACAGATTTATAATTATTATATTTATATGATCAGTTTATGAGAAAAACCTAGAGAGCTGCCTACACAGAAAACCTTTTAAGGCATCATCCGATGCAAAGGCCCAAAATGTTTTTCAGTTTTTCTTCTAACATGCCTATTTTTTGCGCAAATCTTAGGCAGCATTGCATGTTTCCTTCACAAAGAAAGCAATTATGTAATGTTTTTTTTTCATCAGCTGAACCCCTTTGACCTAAAGCTTTTACTTCAAGTACCCCCTGAGATATTAAGATATTAAATATTTCAGTAATTTACATTTGCATGTTTTTTGTCACATCTGTAACAAAATAAATACATTTATTTTACACTTTTTTTATGCTTACGAGAGTATGAATTCAAATCCATTATAAATAATATTATATGCATACACTTGCTCATGTACACAAAACACTCCTACCATTACCTTTAAACTGCACTGCAGCGTGCTTGCCCTAACAAGCGGGATAATAATCAAAGCATAACTGAGCATATAGCTCATTCATCCATGCACAGATATTAGTGACAGCTAAGCTCTAATGATGAGCTCGCTCTAATGTTCACCTTACAGTTACGGTTACCGCAAATGCTGTCAAATCATGTGTGAAGATCCATGGGTAATATTTATGGGTGGATTAATTGGTCCTTGTGATTCTAAATGGTGTGAATCTCAGAGTGCCGATACAGAATATAATTAAATTGATGTTTATGTAAATGAAGTAGTACTTTCATGTATCATTTTTTCCCATAAGTGTATAGTGTTACTGAGCTTGGAAAGATTTTTAAGACATCACTTTTGATTTTAGTTCAAACATTTAAAGAAATAATTACCCACAAATGCATTGTCATTTCAAACCCGTATGACTTTCTTTTTTCCATGGAACACGAAAGGAGATGTTTTGAAAAATGTTCACACTGCTCTTTTTCGTACAACAACAGCATACAGTCACCAGGAGCTGTCAAGCTCTAAAAATGAGACAAAACTTCCATAAAAGTTGCCAGTATGCTCATATATGAAATACAAACCCAATTCCAAAAAAGTTGGGACACTGTACAATTTGTAAGTAAAAACGGAATGGAATAATTTACAAATCTCATAAACTTATATTTTATTCACAATAGAATATAGATAACATATCAAATGTTGAAAGTGAGACATTTTGAAATGTCATGCCAAATATTGGCTCATTTTGGATTTCATGAGAGCTACACATTCCAAAAAAGTTGGGACAGGTAGCAATAAGAGGCCGGAAAAGTTAAATGTACATATAAGGAACAGCTGGAGGACCAATTTGCAACTTATTAGGTCAATTGGCAACATGATTGGGTATAAAAAGAGCCTCTCAGAGTGGCAGTGTCTCTCAGAAGTCAAGATGGGCAGAGGATCACCAATTCCCCCAATGCTGCGGCGAAAAATAGTGGAGCAATATCAGAAAGGAGTTTCTCAGAGAAAAATTGCAAAGAGTTTGAAGTTATCATCATCTACAGTGCATAATATCATCCAAAGATTCAGAGAATCTAGAACAATCTCTGTGCGTAAGGGTCAAGCCC